ATCGCTTTCAGCGCTGGGCAGCCATGCCTTTGGGCTTTGACTTCGAGATCGGGTAGCATAGTAATACAAACACCGGTCAGGCAGATGTACTCTCCCGCTTAATCAACTCATGGACTAAGTAGCCTGAGGACACAGTTTCCGTTGAGACCGACGTTCACAATCTATTTATGGATTCCATCCGTTAAATGCCTGTCACGTTTGAGGAAGACTGAAGTGCAACCCAACAGGACCAACTTTTGAGACAAGTCATCATGTATCATCGTAGTCAGAGGTCCGCAAAAATATCTGGAGAATTGTAGCTGTTTCACCAACGACATAATTATCTGAATACGTTGTATACTGTTCTATAATCATGTCGCTGTTCAACTTCTCTAAGTCCTCTAACACTTACAGCAGATGGCCTAGAATTCGACCACATCTTGATCTGTCAGTTATTAAGTATTCCAACGGTCTACCGGTGAGTCACTGGTACAATTAGCTGTCATATGTCCTCGGGAATATTAATCATCGTGGAAAAGGCATACACAATTCAGGTTATGGTATGCGTCATTTCGACATCTCATAGGGCCTGTAGATACCATCTCAGGGCACAAGAGAAACGACGTGTGTAGTAACCTGGCTGATGCAGGGCCTTCTACCGTAGGTGTTCTTTCTTTGTGACCACTTTCAAAGACGTTGACATAAGAAAAGTAGGGACAAACAAATATCCTTGATGGTAAAAATATCTATTATATTGCTTCCAAATTACTTCCCAGTCATCAGAAGGGTTATCTGATATGGATATAGTAACCTCCAGCTAATTAAAGCAACAGTTCCATTCTTAGCAAGCACGAAGGCGGACCACTGTGATACAGTCTAACATCAAGTTGGGTAGCAGCTAATAAGCAAATCAAATTTTAGGTTTCCCCTGCAATGATAATGTTACAGAGGCTAGAGCCATGGGTTGTAACAGGCGACAAGATCTCCGGGTCCGTCAAGAATAGAAAAAATGTTCGACGCCAGCTGAGAGAATATTAAGAACAGATTCGCACAAGTTAACGACCCGACGAGGGCACTCATCCGAAGCCGCGAGAACCGGCGTCCTGAGTGAGAGGAAGAGACTCATAACGCCTTAAAAATAATTAATCGGTTCGGGTGCTCGTGACTGACCACCACTGGTCTATGCATGCAAGGATGCGAACGATGCGCAGCTTTGCAACAGAAGTCCGCAGTAGAGCCTTTACAACCTTGACACTAGCGTCATGCATAGAACATATCACTGTGAAATGGATCCGACAAAGCAAAGGGAGACCGGAATGGTCATTTATGGTTTGGTAGCCGTCATCAGCCAGTCATACTCAATCTCAAAGGTTGGAACCACCGAGATTTGAATCCGAGACCTTTTGTCATTGAGTTCAATATTCTATCACGGCACCACGGGCTCCTTGCTATGTCTATAGTTGGTTGTTGCGTTAACGCTCACCACTTTTCTAGCGAACCTTTGGTTTTTTTAACCTTTTATCCTGGCATTTTTGCAAGAGTACTTAAATTCCTCAGTCCTACTAATTTTCTTTATTAGCACGGATTTACGTGTTTTACGCTCTTCGTCCCTATGATGCATCCAATTTCTCCCGTTGCTGACAATCTTCTCATCCAGCAGTGTAGATATGAGCACGCTTTTAACAACGCATTAGGTCGTTGCGATGTGTTTGTATGCTAGCTCCTCGAATCTCATTTAAGAGGCTACGGATTTCTACACTAATGGGCTTGTATTACTTGCCCGTGCGCATTCTGTTCGTAGAACAAAATATGTACAATTCTCTGTTCTCTTAATATCTGTGCTGCCCTGATATTAAGTGATGACAACGTCTTCTACGGAAGTATTGCAGTTTATGTTCGTAATTTAGCGGCCATATGATCCATATAAGTTTTTTTAAACTAGTATTTTGCCATGATTTTGGATGGACCAATAGGATCTTTGACCCCTGATTTTAGGGCCGCTCAAGGTCTGCTATCTCTTACCTTTCCACTGGATCGGCTCTCGTCAAGTCTACATCCTTTCATGACTAAAAGAACTTTATAGGTTTTCCTCTTCTTTGCCCGTGACATCAATCACAATACGATCGTGTGATAGGAGAAAGAATTCACGGTTCGGCATAACCGAATTCTCCCGCTGTGCTTAGCGTATTTAATCCGGCTCCGCTAATATCTGCAAATTAATGAGTTAGGTTCCTCTTTTCCTAATTTTCCCGTTGCAGCTGAAGAGGATTCATCCTCCGAAGATTACGCTATAATCGACGGTATTGCCGAGCGGATTGCCCGTCTCGTTTCCGCGTCTGCCGACAATCATGTTGCACCATTTGGCGAACAGATTTCAGACAGCGATATTACCTTTGACCGCTCTCTGCCTGGTCTTCACACGGTAACCCGCGTTTAATTTCATGACCTTCACAGTACCTTGGTGAAGATGTTGTAAACGTCGATGGGCGGAATCATATTCAGCCTGGAGAAATTCTGAATCTGCGCGCCTTTTACCGTCCAGGTATCATTCTTGTTCCTGGGTACACACTCCCACTGCTTATACAAGAAGCTACACAAATTGATGTACTCCGGGCTTTTAAGGATTCCGTGGCAATCCTCCCTGGGTGGTAGGTCATTGGCGTTTATTCACCTGTATCTGAACAGCTGACATTGCAAATTATCTGACGTAATATCCCTTATAATTTTTGCCTACTACAAAAAATATGATGTAATACGCACTGATAACAGAAAAAAATCGAATGTATTGACCGCAATAAAAAGGCTTGCATAACTAGATAACAAATATTTGTTTTTACCCCTCGAAACTTTTTTCTGTTTTATAAGAAAGTAAACTGCTTACGACTTTTCATTAAGGGATGTTTCCAATTACTATGCTATTGGAGGTTTTGCGTACGGCTTATGTTCCGAGTCGTAGGCATAGGTGTTTCGCGCGTCACAAGTACCAGACAAGGATTTCGTAGTAGTATTTGCACAGTCATACGAGGA